TCCCCATCCAGACCCGTACGGCCTCCAGGCAGCGGGCCATCACGTCAAGGGCATCGTTGGGGTGGCCTGGGGTGGAGATGTACAGCTGAGTGTCGTCAGCGTACTGATGGAAATCCACCCCAAAGCCACGAATGATCTCCCCCAGCGGCTTCACATAAATATTGAACAAAAGGGGGGAGAGGACCGACCCCTGAGGCACAAAATAAGCATTAAGAGTAGTAAATATATTAATAACCTCAGGTTAAATTTATAAGTAATTTTATAATTTTGTTTTTATTTTACAAAATAGCTGAGCAAGAGGATATTCAAAAAAGAACTTTCACAAGCTGGGTGAACTCACAGCTAGAAAAGGTAATGGGATGGTGGTGATGTTGATTTTTAAAAAAATATATATGTAAAGTATAATAATGTTTCAGTCCCTTTTATCTGATTAAATATTTGAATCTCAGTAGGAAAAAGTAAACAGAAACAAAGTATTTTCAGAAAATATCAAAACTTGGTGAAATGTCTGAATTGCTTGTGAATTGCTTGTAGGGTATACATATAGGGCAGTGATGGCGAACCTTTTAGAGACCGAGTGCCCAAACTGCAACCCAAAACCCACTTATGCATCGTCGGGTGCCAGGTGGGTGTGGCCCATTGGCTGGGTGTGGCCCATTGGCTGGGCGTGGCTGCAGTGGTAACGGCAAATTGGGTGGGACTAAAAAGTTCAATCAATCAATTCCAACTTTGCAAGATCTTTTTTTTTCCCGTGAGAAGTTGAAATTGACTGATTGAACCTTTTTTTTTTTTTTGCACACGGCGGCGGAGGCCTAAAGCGAAAAGCTTTTATAAAACCCAGCTGAAGGCCTAGGACTGGGGCAACGGCGCGCGTGCCCACAGAGAGGCCTCTGAGTGCCGCCTCTGGCACCATAGGTTTGCCACCACTGATATAGGACATAGAACTGATAGTATCTTTTTTCCACGTGTGTAAAAAAATTGTCAGAGCTGACTGTTAATTAAACCAACATTCTGGATTTATTGGCTTAGTTGGTCATCTTTTACCACTTAAACAGCACTAGATTGAAGTATGACTCAGCACATTTTTGGGTAGCTGCCTTGATGGCACCTCAGCTCAATAGATCCAAGAATGGGCAACCTGTTTTGGCCATTTAGAACAGTGAATGTTTTGCTTGCACTTTCACTAAATTGCTGACATGTCACGAAATGTCTAGTCACAAAATGTCCAGTTATCAGGCTGGTGATATTTGCTCCCAAACAATCCTTGTAGTCTCTTAGGATGGTCCCTATTTTGCAGTAGCTTTGTCTTTTGAAGGGTAGGGAAAGAAGAAGTCCCTGCTAATTTTATTTTTATTTTCAATTTGCCTGTTGACAAATTGATTTATAAATCTGTAAATAAAGAGATGATGGTAAACACTGATGCTTTGTTTTTCAAATTGGCAGATTCTTTACTATCATTATTAGTGCTACTAATTATAAACATTTTTTAAAAAGTACTAAAGTTTCATGGAATACCAAGCCTAGGAAGAAAGTGTTGCTTAACCTATAGTTGACAGTATGACAATAGCCCCATCTGCTAGCAGGTTTTTATGATGATCCAGAGACTAACACACTGAGAACTGGTTGCTAAAGTATTTGTACAAGAGCCCCTTGGGTCGAAAATATGTATTCAATTATGCATATTATTTTGTTGTAATGCACAGTAAAAGCACTGTAGCATATGTAATCAAATATAAATAATTATTCTGCAGCATCCGTCACCTTCTCTTATCTTGGACTTGTATTCAGACATTGGGAAGGGACATGTGCTTTTGGATCTGCTGGAGGTCCTTTCTGCACAACAATTGGTAAGAGTATCATGGTTAACTCAACCAAAAGAATTCATAGAAAGGCTGTGTACATAGGAGTAGTTCTCATGTTTCTCAACAGTCACTTAACCAAATAGCCCAAGTTTCTCAGCTGAGAAAAACATAGATGCATTTCCTAAATCTTTTGTTTACTATTTATTTATTTTATTTATAGCCAGTCTCTATTATTTTTACAAAAAACTTAAGGCAGAGAACATATCCAACACACATTCCTCCTATTTTCCCCACAACAACTTCCCTGTGAGGTTGGGCTGAGAGAGAGAGAGTGACCTAAGGTCACCCAACTGGCTTTCATGGCTAAGGGAGGACTTGAATTCACATTCTCCTGCTTTCTAACCTCATGCCCTAACCACCAGACCAGGGGTTGGCAACCTTGGCTCTTTTATGACTCGTGGACTTCAACTCCCAGAATTCCTGAACCAGCATGGCTCAGCTTGGAAACCTGTCCCTTTCCCCTCAGCATGGCTGGCTCAGGAATTCTGGGAGTTGAAGTCCACGAGTCATAAAAGAGCCAAGGTTGCCTACCCTTGCACTAGACCAAAGTAGCTCCTACAAATATATGCTTCTCCTCAACTAGTTGAAATATCTGAATCACAAAAGCAAATTATGTAAAATGGATAAAGTTCACCAGACTGTTAAACACAGTTTCTTGTTTGTAAGATTTTGTGTTAGTTTATTTTTCAAAATGCAAAGTATTTTGTGCCAAAAGGGTTTAGGATAATAACTGTCTCAGAACATATGTTTGTTTTTCTTCATGTTTCAATTTCCCTCTTCCCTCCTATATAACTCCTTGAAGAGGGTAAGTCCCTTGGGGCAATGAACTTTACTTTCAGTCTTTGTAAAGCATTACACATACTGCACATAGATATTCCTGCAATATTTACAAGAACAGTAGTAGCAGCGTATAAGAGGAAAGAATCAAAGTAGAAAATAACTTCAGAATCCAGCCCTCTGCAAATATAATCTATTATTAGTATACAAATTTCCTTTTATAATTGTCAATTTGTCTTGTAAGATTTCAATCAGGAATATATATTTACAAATAGTGAAACATTGTCACTGTTGATATTGATCAAACTGTTCTTTTTCTGTTTCTTTATATTTTATAGCCACGTGAAAAGGGATCGAACACTTTCCAATGCAGAAGCAACATTGAAAATGCCTTAACCTTCCTGAAGAATAGATCAGTTAGTATTCCAGTTTTGAAAGGGGCCCGAGTTTACTTAGTTGCTAAAGCATTAAATGAATTATTAAATGAATTGTTCAGTATTTATTTCCAGCAATTTCACTATAAAATTAGTTACAGATCTCAGCTATATAAGAACATTTTCCTACATGTGAAGGACATCCAGATTGATTGCTAGGTCTCTGTGATATTTGCATATTTTGTATTTTTATTGTATCTGCTTTTTGCAACAAGCACACATGGTAGTCCTTTTTTGATGCCTGAATCAAAATTGAACAAGTTAGTTGTTACTTTTTCAAGGAAGAGAAGCAAATATTTGTGCCCATCAATAGTTGGATTTGGGGCACTATGTTCTCATCTTAAAACAAGTTTATTTTCTTTCTACACTATTGCAGTTTGTTCCACCACTAACATTGGATCAAGATTGTTATTGTGAAAATCATACACTAAACATTGCAGATTTGCAACACAAGCCAGTATTTCCTATGGGTGTCCTCCAAATGTCCTGGGATTGTAACTCCAAGGATTTTTACTCTTTCAGTTGATTGAGAACTTTGAGAAATAATCTCAGCACATCTGGAGGCTCCTAGTTCATCAAAACAATAAATCCTCCTTTTTTCCAGCTCAAACTTATAAACATCCATGTTGCTGATATCATAGAAGGAAAACCATCCATCGTGCTTGGTCTCATATGGATCATTATATTGCATTTTCATGTAAGTACTAATCAACATAAAGAAAAAGATTTTTCAAATGTTGTTCCAATTAGTGTTTGTCCCACAATTTTAATACAGTAATGACTTTGTCAGTTCTGCTTCTTCTACCACGGCTAAACCAAGAAACTATTTCAAACATGTAACTTGTAATGCAAAATTATGATATTTTTCTTACTGTTTTATTATCTCTGCTTAAATTACAATCTTTTGGCTACATTCAATAATTTTGGGAGGTTATTTATCATATTTTAACATGGCTAGTACAAATTGAAGTTCAAATATTATGTTATTTATACTTGTTACTTGTTGAATGTTTTCCTCCATATGGTTGATAAGGAAAATATTGAATATTTAGTTACAGATTTTTTTCATAGTGTTGAGATGGAATAGTTCCTAGCAGGATACTAAGCTCAAAGTATTGGGTGATTATACTTATTTAATGTGATAGAGAAGCCAAATCCTGCATTACAAATGTGTCTTGTCAAAATTATGGCTAACTAGATTTTTTTTGGTAGTCTTTTTTTTCTGCATGGTTTTTCTGGCTGGAGCAGATCATATCAAAACCAGCCATTTGAGTTAACTCTTTCTTTTAGGTACAGTCAGACATTTTCAAATGCGTCTTTTCTTTCTTTCTGATGCCCATGGATAGATTGAAGAATTAGCCAAGGCTCTTTCTTGTGGATACAGTTATTCATCTCTGGATAGTCCAAGCACTGTGGATTTATCACCAGCAACAAGCCCAACAGCTAGAACTAATGTCAAAGCAAAGGAACGATGGAAGATGTCAGCAAAGAAGGCTGTCCTGCTATGGGCTAAGGAACAGTGTGACAAGTATGTCAGGATAGGAAAATCAGTCTGATCCTATCAGTTATAAATCTGTTCTGTCCCATTTCCGCATTTATTTGCTTATTTTAAACTTTGAGCTGTAGTGTAAATGCAGATCTGAGAAGCAGCTACATCTATATCAGCATATTAGTCTTATGTAGGGACCATTCAGTTTGTGTCAGAATTCACAAAAATTATATTCTTCAAAGACTTCTAAATGCATAATATAGTATTTAAAAGATGTACCTCAACAAGCATATTGAGTTGTATTTTTCAGCTGCTCTTGCTTCATGGAAAGTTCATAGTATGAAATATAACAGTACCTGAAAGTATTTAACACTTATTAAAACCATATTGTAGGACTCAGTGCTAAATCTAAATTAAAAATGTAGAGGAAAAGAGTGATAGATGGAAATAAGGAATAGCAACAGAGGAAGTGAAAGAAGTGTTTCTTTGTATTGCATATTATAAACTGATGTTGGACTGACATTAGAAAGGTGCAATATAGCAGCTCTAGTTCAGAGTTTGCTAGGAATAAATGTACTTTACTACAGATGACTTTAAATAAAGATTATGGGAGGCTTTCCTGATTCCTTCCAGAAATTTTGGTCAACAACTCCAATAAACTCTGCCCGTTATAACTACCTGGAACTTATGGGAGTCAGAATCTAAAACATCTGCTATACATTAGTTGAGGGAAGACTGGATTGAATAAACTCATTATGAGTGCATAATCTAAACATATTGATAGCATGCAGTTTGACTTTATAATGAATGCAGGGTGAGTTGACAGAGGTAATTACAGATTGGTGTTGTAGCATTATAAACAAATCTTTTTTGAGAGGTAGGTGGCTGTCCTTCCAAACTCTTGCATAGTTGTAATCAAACTGATAATAGCTTTTGGGAGATCAAAAGAGTTGGGTAAGTTATGCTGAAACAAATGGGAAGCTGATTTCCTACTGTCCTCTGTGCACAACTGAAGCTCCTCCAATAAGTGCAGCAAATGATGTCTGTGTTTGATCAATGAGCCATTTCATCTTTCTGCGCCCAGGAAACATCACTTTTCATAAATACAACCTATTCTCTACTTGTGTGGAGCTTTCTTAGTTTCAATTCTGTCTTCTGCTTGTGAGGGAAATTATGTGCAGGGTAGGGAGAGCTCCTAAAACTATGAACCCTTGGGATTGTTGGGCTAAGGGGGCTTAGGAAGTGAAGCTAGTATTTGCTGAGTCTCTTTGTGATTCTCTGTCATGCAGACAGAACACAGAACTGATTTCCCATTTTGCAAGGAGCTTTTACTCTTCTAACTAACAAATGTATTTCATTTGCCTAGGATTAATATATGCAGCTAAACAAGAAACCTATCTGATACAAGTAGCATTCCTCCCTTGAACTGCATAGAAAGGAAATGTGCTTTAAGGAACAAATGATGTAACATTTCTTTCAAAATATATTTGAATTATGTCAGTAATCAGTTTATTATGTCATAGAAAATAACTCCCCTTCCTCCAACTTTTAAGTTATACTTTCTCAGAGAGTTTATATTGAAAGTTAGGGCAAGCTATACAGCACCTCCCACATTTGCTATTTTCTTTCTTTAAAAAAAATCTATCCATACATTGGTTAATGGAGCCTCTTTACTTTGGTCTTTAAGCTAAGGGCAGAAGGATTATAGCTAGTTTTAAAACCAGGATGAGGGAAGCAGACTGGTATACAAATTTTTATTTTCTTGTCCAGCATAATATTTCTCCCCCTCTTACTTTAATTTTTCTGTGTTTTTAAATGCTTTTGATCATAGGCATGGGTCTATCAATGTTGCAGATTTCAAATCCAGTTGGAGAAATGGATTGGCTTTCTTAGCCATCATTCATGCATTAAGGCCAGGCCTTGTTGATGTGGAGAAAGCAAAAAAGAGATCAAATAAGGAGAATCTGAGAGAGGCGTTTCAAATTGCAGAGAAGGAACTTAGTATACCCCAGCTACTTGAACCTGAAGGTAACTCATAGATTTTACATGCACTTTAGCTTCAATCTGCTTGGTGTTGAGTTTTGAGCATGTTTAAACCCAGCAGTGCTTACTGTATTATGCTGATTTATTATACCAATTTTGGTCTTGCCTTGCTTTAATTTTATTAATATTAGATTATTGTTAATTATATTGTATTGGAACAGATAAAATGATAAGACTCTTAAAGAAAATCAACATTATGCATATTAAAAGTGGCAATGACAGATACAACCAAACATGTACTTTGCAATTTTCTTTAATATCACTATCAAGCATACATGTCTACATTTCTGTTGAACATGCTATATTGGTCTAATTTATACATAATGTTAAACTAGAATGAATGGTTCATAAATCATGCTAAGTTGAAATCCAGAAAAAAATAATGTATGTGTCGACTGGACAATTTTGAAACCCAACACTAACACAATTATGGGCAGTGCAGATCTAATCAGTAATATACATAGTGGATTGAATTATTAGAAGTTTGTACTTGGGAATATATTCAAATCTCTTGGCATTCCACAGATGTTGATGTCAGCAGTCCAGATGAAAAATCCATCATGACTTATGTGGCTCAGTTTCTCCAGTATTTTAAAAGTTTACCTGTGACTGAAGATAGAATGCAGGTACAGTATGTGACATCTAAAGCTCTAGAACATGTTTTATACTTTTTTTTGCATCCTGTTTTTACAATTTTATCTATGAATGTTCTTTATAGAAAATCCATGCCGTGATAAATTTTATTGTTCAGAATTTGATTAGATCTGCAGCTAGTTCAGGTAGAATATACACTGATAATTAATGTTGCTTAAGATTATGATCTTGTTACATATATAATGCTAAATCATTTCTTTAAAATCATGACATTAAAACAAGTAATATGTGTTAATGTGATAATGGTTTGGTTCATACATTACACTAAATTAATACAAATAGTTTATATGATGGCTTAGGAGTCTGGGTGGCACAGTGGTTAGAATGCAGCATTGCAGGCAAACTCTGCCCACAGTCTGGAGTTTGATCCTGATGGGGCTTAAGGTTCATTCTGTCTTCCATTCTTCCATGGTTGTAAAATGAAGGCCCAGATTGTTGGGGGCAATATGTTGACTTTGTAAACCATCCAGAGAGTGCTGTGAAGTTCTATGGGGCGGTATATAAGTCTAAGTGCTATTGCTATTACTATAGTGCAATATGTGAATACAGCCAGTTTGATATATTCTGGACACTATATCACATGCTAAACAGTGGTTTATTTTAGCCATGTTTATTGGTTGAGGCATAGGGGTCTCAGTCACAGATGATGCTGAATTATGCTGTAAACACTCAATGTTTGGGGTCAAACAAATTGCTGAGCTAAAACTAAACAAGTCATATGAATTAGAAGCAAATATATTTCACAGTTGTTCGCAAAATAGTCTATGAAGGACAAGATCTCTGGGAATAAGATTAACAAAACACTATTTTCTGTAACAATGCAAACAGGAGTATCCGTGCAATATATACATTTTTTGTTCTGCTTTTTAGGGAAAAAGAAAAGAGACCTTGAGCTGGCTCAATGCACAGGAATGTAAGTTAACAAAGTTGCTGACTGAGCTAGAGAATGCATCCTTCTACAAGAAGTTTGAAGTAAGTAACTTTGTAAATGTATCCTTTGGAGGATACATTACTGTTTATTACAAGAAATATCAAATGTTAACAACTGAGCCCTTTTTGGTAACTTTTTATGAAATGAAGATTTCGGATTTTGCTTTCTGTGCTCTTTTTAGACATGGTTACATTTTGTGACAGCAAACTGTGATTCAGGCCACATATAGGGAGGACAATTAATCAGTGGAACAGCGTGCCTTCAGAAATCGTGGGCGCTCCATCACTGGAGGTTTTTAAGAAGAGACTAGACAGTCACTTGTCTGAAATCATATAGGGCAGGGGTCCCCAACCCCCAGTCCGTGGACTGGTACTGGGCCGCGGCATGCCAGCAACCGGTCCGTGCAAACAAGCGAAGCCCCATCCGTGGGATACAGGCAGCACCTAAAACCACGCACTCTCCGGTCCGCGGAAAAAGCTCTCTCCACGGAACCGGTCCTTGGTGCCCAAAAGGTTGGGGACCTCTGGTATAGGGTCTCCTGCTTGAGCAGGGGGTTGGACTAGAAGACCTCCAAGGGTCTTCAACTCTATTCTGATTGAAAAGAAGGTATCAGCCTTAGCAAAGGGCTGGCTTTGCATGCTGCCATTCCTTCTCTACTTTTTATGCAGCTCAAAATAGGACCTAATCAAAATAAAATTTGATTAATGACCATATGTTTATGAATAGGAAGCATAAAATTATTATTTAAAATGTTAATTTAAAGTGTTAATGACCTTAAGAGTATTACCCATAATTACTCTTTTTTAAAAAAAAATAGGAGCTTTTCCCAGTCATTATGAAGATAGGAAAATTTTCCCTTCTGTGCCAGTCTTATTTCTGAAGTGGAAAGCTATGAAAAGCAGTCGGGCACAAACTAGCTATTGATGAACAGATTGTTTAATATTAATGTATTTAGTCCCCTTTTAGAAACACTTAAGTTCATCATTGTCACAGTAAATCCATGACTATCTTAGCTACTACATCTCTGGTGTTATTGAAGAAGCCAATCATAATTGTATAAAAATATTAAAACAAAATAAGCCATGGTATAAAAAACTTATCTGTTGTCAGGAAGTTGATAAAAATTCAGACTATTGAGAGGAATCAGACTGAAATTTTGTTACTTAGTTTTCTGTTCCAATAATGGCCAAACAGAATAGATAGACATGGCCTATGTTTATGCAACGTGATTTATCAAATTACCTTAAAATCTAACACAAGTAGTCCTCGACTTACGATCATTTATTTAGTGACCATTCAAAGTTACAATGGCTCTGAAAAAAATGACTTAGGACCATTTTTCACACAACCATTGCAGAGTCCCACGGTCATGTGTTCAGCATTTGTATACTTGGCAACTGGCATGTATTTATGATGGTTGCAGTGTCCCAGGATTGCAACCTTCTGACAAGCAAAGTCACTGGGAAAGTCAGATACATGTAAAAACTGTGTTACTAACTTAACAACTGCAGTGATTCACTTAACAGCTGTGTCAAGAAACGTTGTAAAATGGAGCAAAACTCACTTAACAAATGTCTTGCTTAGCAACAGAAATTTTGGTCAAAGGATTGTGGTCACGTTATCAAGGATTATTTGTAGTGGTATTAAAACAACTAGTGAGTGATTTTAAGCTTGGTTAGTTTTTGTGGAATAAGCTGTTGTTTGAATCTTATTTCATTTTGCATATAATTTTAGTGTGCAAATTATTTATTAAATGTATAAGCAGCCCAACTCCCAGATATAGAAACTTTGTAAAAGATATAATTAGGTTAATTTCATGATATGAATATTCTGTTGTTCACTTGAGCATCTTTTATTCAGAGATAAAGTATCCTTGTACCAGTGCCATTTAAATACTATGTTCTATGTCCCTAATTCTTTTAAGTATCTAACACGGAATATATTGACTGCACTTATGGTTTTAAATATCAATTTAAATCCTTAGGCAGTGCTATCATTTACAGAAGCATTTAATGAAGAAAAAAAGGCCTTCATTCCCATTCTGGAATCTAAAAGAAAAGGGTCAGAGCTGAATGAAGATTACTCGGAGATGAAGGAAGCATGGGATAACCTATTGTATCAGGTCATTAGGATATTTAAAGGCATTTGCATTTATTTTGTTGTTGTAAAAGATTTCTTGCTCATGCATTTGAACATCTGGCTTTCATGAGAACACATTTCCTGCCACACAAATATGAAGCAAAGATGGGAGCAATATAATATTTGCCAGACAAAGGGGTAACATATCTGCTCAAACAGAACAATGGTTCCAATATGCTGGTACATTTTTGTGACATAAAGTATGAATAGTTGAAGGGGAAACTTCTTAACAGTGGGAACAATTAACCAGTGGAACAGCTTGCCTTCAGAAATTGTGGGTGCTTCATCACTGGAGGTTTTTAAGAAGAGACTGGACAGCCACTTGTATGAAATGGTATAAGCGCAGGGGTAGTCAACCTTGGCTCTTTTATGACTCGTGGACTTCAACTCCCAGAATTCCTGAGCCAGCACAGCTGGCTCAGGAATTCTGGGAGTTGAAGTCCACAAGTCTTAAAAGAGCCAAGGTTGACTACCCCTGGAAGGTCTCCTGCTTAAGCAGGGGTTGAATTACAAAACCTCCAAGGTCCCTTTCGGTTCTATTCTGATTAAGCAATATGCTGGTATATTTTTGTGATATAAAGTATGAACAGTTGAAGAATCAACATGAATGGCATTTCTCTGATCTATTTGTCTAGATGAATGAATGGAAAGCAAAGCTGGACAATATGTTACCTCCACCTCTAGATGCCACTGAAGCATGGCTCAAAGAAACAGAGCAGCATCTGGCACACAATCTACCTGTTTCTCAAGATCATTTGAAAGCAACAGCTGCCCTTGAAGAAAAATTGAGAGCTGTTCAGGTTGGTTAAGGAAAGTAACTTTTTATGTATTTACTGATTAAATTTATTTGCCTCTCATCTCGTGGGCAGCTTATAGCATAATAAACATAATAATAATAAACAAGAGCCACAGAAGAGAAGGCTCTTCTCCTAGACCCCACCAGCCAAAATTCCTTTTACTAATATGCATTAGTAAAATATATCATCCTCTTATATATATGCCTTGCTTAAAGCAAGCATCAGGGCATTTTAACACTGTAATACAATCAGCAGTGCCTTTTATTTGGGGAACTGTGAATAATATTGAGGAAAAAAGGACCACAAGCGTATATCTGGTTCACTATATAATAGAATAAGAATCTAAACTATCAAGTAAATCCAACTTACATGAACCATTTTTGTAAGCTTCCTACATTCACCTCAAAGAGTGAGATGGGTGGTATATAAATATAATAAATAAGACAAATCAGCTAAATGTGGTTAACTTCAAATGAATAAGCATGCATTTCTATTGCAGTTCATCTGCTAGTATATACAGTTTTAGGATGCATTGCATGACTTTGATAGATTTGGGGTTGCTTTTCAAATGATTGGTTGAACTCACATATTGAGATAAGCCAAAACTCTTGACATTTCCCACATTCTTTATGCTGGATCAGACATAGTAAAACATTTAAACAATGACTTCATTCAGCCTTTTAGTGCTATTGAGTGTAACATGTAAAGCAGGGGTGTCAAACTCGCAATGTCACATGACATGTCGCGACGTATTGTGACTTTTTTGCCATTGCCGGCAATGGGGCGGGCGCGGTTTCGCCATGACACATCCTGCCCACGGGCCGGCAGTTTGACACCCCTGATATAAAGGGTGACCAAATCTAGCATTGCTTTGAATATTATCTCTGTGGGTAAATGCAACACCAGGCATACTCACCAGGCATACTCACTGGGCTCTGCTGGGTTTTGGTGGGGCTTTTGGCAGTTGCCCAAGAATTACAGCAGCCAATAATATATCTCAGGGTGCACTATAATATAAAGTAAAATAAAAAGCAATGTAATATTCAGCTATGTAACCTCATATTGTTCAGTAACAATATGGTCAGCTCTTTAAGTAAAGAAAGATGCAATATTTCAGGATCTGTCTTTATAACCATTCTATAAACTATTCCATAATTACTTAATGATATTTTTCTTTGAGAAATTTATTAGCCTTTTGCTATCCCTTTTAAAAAATGCTAGGAAAATAAATGCATATACAGTATAAATGATGCTTTAATTGTAAGACATTTGTGAATAGTGCTTCTGCTTTTTAGAATTTGATGGAAAGTTTTCAACAACATTTGGAAACCCTACAGTCCTTTGACAATAGAGATAATGCTGGAATGCTGCTAGTTCCAGCTCAGAAGCTGGAAGAAATGAGAAAAAGGTTTGTGATGTCAAATTCCTCCTTCAATTGTTGCATTCAGCTAAATATAATTGTATTCTCATCAAATTTAGTAGCCTAATTGCAGACTGATGGTGGGCATCTTTGCTGCTCTTATTGACACTCATACGCATTTCCCACAACCTGATATCTTCCAGATGTGATATATTTATTAGATTGGGGAATTTATTCAATCCCAGGATCTGATTTTCCTTGTAGGCAAGTTGTGTGGTCTTATTCTCCTCATGATCAAGAAAGCATGTTTTTAAGCCGTGCTTGTGGTTTCTCTGAAAGTACTACCTGGACTACAGTGAGTGGATTGGTATAACATGCTTAACTTGTTTTGGGGGTTTATATAACCTATTGTAATATAAACTAATTCAATAGTCTGAATTTTCACCAAACAAAGTTAAAACTAATTAACTAAGTTTAAAACAAATTAAGCTCACCAGGAATGTGGGCAAACATAGCCAATGGTGCTCTAAAGCGGTTCTCAACCTTTTTAATGCCGCGACCCCAACCGGTTGTAAGTCGAGGACTAAACCGGTCGTAAGTCGAGGACTAAACCGGTCGTAAGTCGAGGACTAAACCGGTCGTAAGTCAAGGACTACCCAACCAGTCGTAAGTCGAGGACTTTCCCTGCCCGGGAGCGCCGCGCATGCGTGGTTCTGCCCCCTGCGCCGGCCGAGGCGTAGCTGGCAAGCGGCAGAGACAGAGCAGGCCGACCACCAGCTGGCCCAGCTCAAGGGAGGTAAGGCACCCGCCAGAAAAGGGGGAAAAAAATGGCGGACAGCCTTGCTTGGCGACCCCCGTGAAATGGTCGATCGACCCCAAATGGGGTCCCGACCCACAGGTTGAGAACCACTGCTCTAAAGGATCTGATTAAGCACCTGTACTTTGTGCAAATCCAACTAATAGAAAGCAAAATGTAGATGGACACCAGGCCTGATTCAACACAGCTCTTCCTACATTCTTTGTTTCTGGAAATAATGCCAATTTCCTGACTTTTGTCATTCATATTTTTGTATCCAGTTTATAAATATATGAAGCTATTTAATTCTGAACCAGACTGTTGATCCATCTGGTTCAATGTTCCTTATATTAATTGCCATGGGTCTTTTAAAGTCCTCCAATACTTCATGTAGTTATTAAAGTCTTGGCTGGGTCCTGTAGGCTCTCCAGCATTTGTGCACTTTCTTCTGCTCTTCAGCTGTATTCTTTCATTCCTGCACTACCATGATCATATCACAGCATTTCCTTTTTAAAAAAAATATTTTATTAATTTTTTATAATTACAAATCTTTAGTGCTTAGTAAACAATGTGTTGCCTGGGTCCACATATATTAAATTTAATAATAATACAACTTTCATTCCTACTCTCTACTCCGTTTTTCTAGCCTTTGTAAGAAGTATCCCATGTTTGAAAGTATTCTGTATCTTCTTTTCCTTTCATTTTCAATGTGAGCTTGTCCATTTCCCACAGTCCAGAATTTTCTTAATTATGTCTTCTTTGGCTGGTGTTTCTTCATTTTTCCAATACTGTGCAAATGTAATTCTCACTGCTGTTAGTACATGTAATATTAAATATACACGTTCTTTATAATAGTTTCCTGTAATTATACCTAAAAGAAATAGTTCCGGCTTAAAGTCTACATGTTTTCTTAACATTTTCTCTAGTCACATATGTATTTTTGACCAGAATTCTTTTGCTTTAAAGTATGTCCACCAAAGTTGGTAGTACATGCTTGGCTTTTGCCTACATTTCCAACAGTTGCTAGACATGTTTTAAACATTTTTGCTAACTTTGCAGGTGGTAAATGCCATCTATAAAACATTTTATATACATTTTCTTTATAGGTAGCTGCCCTTGTTATTTTATAGTTTCTTTCCCACAAGTTTTGCCATTTTTCTTTTCTTTTTTAAACAATGTATTTTATTGATTTTTTACAATAACAATCTTTGGTACTTAGTAAACAACATGTCTGGGTTCATACATTTTAAAAAAATCAATAATAATTAATTTCTATAATTCCGTAATCAATATACTAATTAATAGTATGTTTCTTTGATCTTCCCTTCTTCCAATGGTATTCTTCTTTGTCAACATTAGATAAATATAATTCTTAATATTTTCAATGCATACAAGGTTGGATATAAACATTTTTTTGTGCTTGTACAAATAACAATGACATCCATATATAACATCTTTTCTAATTAACTTATGTTTCAATCGTATTTGTAAAAGTCATCTTGTTAAGTCACTATGTATTTTCAAAATTCTTATTTAAGCTTGATTTCCCCTCAGTATTCAAATCATTTTTCTTGGTCATAATTCTCTCAAACGTTTTGCCATTTTTCTAACTCTACATTGTGCCCAAAGTTTTTTGACCAAGTTATCATTGTTTCTTTGATTTCTTCATCTTTCATCTTCAGGTTTAACAAAAATGTATAAAGTTTTTAAATCAATAGTATCTGGTCAAACACTATCTGGTCTTTATAAAAACCATAGTTTTGGCATCTTTCTCATATCACATTTGCATTTGCAAGTGTGGCCACCATGATAGCTCAGTGCCCTTTTCTTTCAGTTCTTTTTTTTTTTTTTAAATAAATTTTTATTATTTTTCATTTAAAAAGACAGAAACATACCGTAAATATTTTATCACAATATCAACCAAAGAGAATAAAACTAAACAAAACATTCATGGACGTGCCCGGTGTCCCCCTCCCGCACCACCCTCTTCCACTTACCACTCCTTCCTCCTCCCATTCTACCACCACTCCTCCTTCCTCCCTCTTTCCTACTTTCCTTCCTCACTCAACCATCCCATCTTGTGCAGTTGGGGTATCACCGGGCACCTCCTTAAAAAATCATACATATAAATCTATAATACAAACCTACCCTTTTCCCCCCCCCCCCCCCCCCCGGACTTCCCAAAGCTAATCTAGGAAATAAACACACAATAATCCAAATCTATTCAAAACTACTCCTTATTACTCTTTTCTTTCAGTTCTTGTTTAATTTGTAGTTTCCCTTCAGTATTCAAAATATCTCTATAAGTTACAAATTTCTCATAATTAATTAAATTTGAGTGCACAAATACTTCCATTGTTGAGATCCATCCTGGTATTTTCATATAAATTTTCATTTTTATCTTTTCCCATGTTAAAAGCAAAGTATTTCTTACATAGTGATTTTGAAAGTACTTATGGATTTTGTTCTTTCTATCCGAGTTGTAAGTTGTGTCCTTCAAAGTATAGTAATTTTTTGAGATCACAGCATTTCCTGTTCCCAGTTCAACCTAATACATCTGTACAGATTGGTAATAAAAACAGATCAACTTATTTAGCTGGTAAAAAGCTGTCCATTTTTCTAGATCACAGCATGTCTTGTGGAGTGCAGATCAGGCTCATTGGTTTTGTCTTACATTTTATAGACAAGATGTTGGGTTTATTTTCAGGTTCAGCAAAATTCAACTTGAACATTTCAGCTTTATTGTGGAATACTACTGCTCATCCAGCTCAGCTGTCTTCAACGAACTGACATCTAAACTGAACATCTGGCATATCAAGTTTGGAACCAAGGAGTCTGTGGAGTTATTGCTATTAGATTGGCATGTAAGCATTATAGTTGCTTCTTGGATAGTTGTGCAGAAGAGACTAAAGAGTTAAATCAAAGGCACCCATACAGATTTTGTACATACTATTTATTCATTTTAATCTTATTAAATTTTTTATCCCACCTTTATTACTTTTATAATTAACTCAAGGCAGTGAACATAAATAATACTTCTTCCACCTCCTATTTCCCCCATAACAACAACCCTGTGAGGTGGGTTGGGCTGAGAGAAAGAGTGACTGGCCCAAAGTCACCCAGTTGGCTTTCATGCATAAGGCAGGACTAGAACTCACAGTCCCCTGGTTTCTAGGCCAGCACTTTAACCAGCAAGTAATTTTCATCCAAATATGCATTATGGAATTAGCATGTTATAAGTGCCATATTTTAGCTGCAGTTGTAAATAAGTAATATATATATTGTCAAGGCCTTTTATAGATATGACAAACTCCTTCTCAGCAATGCATCTCCCAGCAGACCCAAGAAGTTCAGATAAGTACATTCATTGCAGAGTATTACAAACCCATATGAACAAATCAATGCAGCATCTAGCAGTCTACAGGAATCCTGCCTTATATAGTATGAACTGGTCTAAGCTTTAAATACTGGGCTCCTTCCTCCTCCCTTTTCAAGTTACAGCTTTTGAACTGCTTGCTTTTTGTCCTTGAACACGGGTGTCAAACTCAGTCGCGTCACGTGATGTATTGCGATGTTTTTTGCCTTTGCGGAACCGGGGTGGGCGTGGCCTATCCATGATACATCTGGCCCGTGGGCCGCCAATTTGACAACCCTGTCCTGGAAGGTTTCAACTATCTCTCCCATTTAAAAATTGCTTTTTTTGCATCAGAAATTCCCATCATATCAGTCTTAATTCTTATATGAACGTCCAGCAGATGTCAGTGTAAATCTACAAACATTTAATAAGAGGCCTGAGAAAAACCATGATTTGTTTCTCCAAGAAGGAAGGAAGACTTGCCAAATGTTGTAAGGTCTAAACCTTGACAGTGTTGTTGGTGATTTAAGAGGCAGAAAAGACTATTCACTCTTGAACTGCTTGTACAAAGTCCTGTTGTTCTTAAAAAACTGTTTGTTAAATTTCAGTTGAGATCATCTGTTCCAGGACTGTCAGATATTTCAAAATTAATACATAGTACAAACTGTCCTGGATGAGGTTTTTTTTTGTTTCTTTCATCATGTTATTCTCATGGACATTTTAATTATTAAAATTCTTTCTCACCCTCCTCCACCTCCGCAGATTCCTTGCTTTTACCCCTTACTTTGTCTCTGTTTCATCTGATCCACATAAAATCAGAGAATCTGTAAATCTCAAATTGAATTACTTCTAATTCTCTACAATGGCAAACATTTCTTAAACAAATGTGTTATTTTATTTTGGGGCAGAATTTTGTTGAAGAAAATGGTTTTCTTAGTCAACTAGACACTGCATTGCAAGCATGTGAAGCACAGAAGAACAAAATGATACAGACTCCTAATTTGGGTAAGAATTCATAAACATCACAGTGGTTCTGTCCATTCATTCCCTTGATTTTCAGTGCTTGGTCTGTGAGGATTATTGTTACAGAGCCAGAATCGCAAAACCCATGAATTACAACAATGCATTTAAAGAACTTTAAGATTTAAGGGCATATAAAATTGGGAGAGGGGGAACTGTTAGAGGACATATTTTCCTTCTTGAAAACAGTCTTAAAGAATGAAGTGTGTTCATTGCGTATTGAATAGCGAATATTGGCTAGAGACAGAGCAAAGGAAGTGTAAGGAACTAACTAGTCCTCAATGGCACCACATCCACATGGAAAGAAATAAGCAGTGGGATATCACAAGGTTCCGTGTTAGGCCCAGTACTCTTCAATATCTTCATCAATGACTTAGATGAGGGAATTAATTAGGAACTCATCAGATTTGCAGATGACACCAAACTGACAGGAGCAGCCAACACCTCAGAAGACAAACTGAGGATCCAAAAAGATCTTGACAAACTTGAGCAATGAGCCCTATCCAACAAAATGAGTTTCAATGTGGAGAAAAGCAAAGTTTTACATTTAGGCAGGAAAAATCAAAGATACAAGTATAGATTGGGCGAGACCTGGCTTAAAACTAGTAACTGTGAGAGGGACCTTGGAGTCTTAGTGGATGATCACTTGACTATGAACCAGCAGTGTGCAGCAGCAACCAAAAAAGCTAATACAATCCTGGGTTGTATAAACAGAGGCATAGAATCAAGATCATGCAAAGTATTAGTACCGCTTTATAAAACCCTAGTAAGACCACATCTGGAATACTGCAGCCACTTTTGGTCACCATATCACAAAAAAGATGTTGAGAGTTTGGAAAAAATTCAGAGAAGAGCAGCTAAGATGATCAAAGGCCTGGAGACTAAAACATACGAAGAACGGCTGCAGGACTTGGGTTTGGCTAGTCTAAAGAAAAGAAGAAATATGGGAGACATGATAGCAGTATTCCAATATTTGAGGGGCTGCCACAAAGAAGAGGGGGTCACATTATTCACCAAAGCACCAGAGGGCAGGACAAGAACAATGGTTGGAAACTGATCAAAGAGAGAAGCAACCTGGAATTAAAGAGAAACTTCCTGACAGTGAGGACAATTAACCAGTGGAATAGCTTGCCCCCAGAAATCGTGGATGCTCCATCACTGGAGATTTTTAAAAAGAGGCTAGACAGTCACTTGTCTGAGATGGTATAGGTTCTCCTGCTTGAGCAATGGGCTGGATTAGAAGACCTCCAAAGTCCTTTCCAGCTTTATTCTATTCTATATTCTAATGGAATAGCTAGGACATCCATTTGTTACACTGTCATGAGATCTTTGGGCTTGTCCTCACTAAAATACAAATTTAGCTTTTCAAAAAGATGACCCCCATCTTCTCCCAAGTGTTCTTGTTTTCAGTATAAAGTGATTTCTTTTGTTGTTGTAGCAGTAATAAGCATTTAATGAAAGCAATTTATGGAGCCCCAAAATATATTCAATATTTTCCTGAGAACAAGGGAATGTACAACCTGCCTTGGAAGTGGGAAGAATTCCTAAATTCTTAAGGAAGGATTTTCAGGAAAAATTACTAAATAACGCCACATGGTTTTGTTTGGTGTAAGATAGGGAAGAAACACTGACAAGTTTCCTGAATGCCTGTTTCTTGAATTTGCTTACCTGTGACTGGTACCCTAAGAACCACTAAGCTGTATTAATAAGATTTGATTCATCTATAAGGTAGCTATTTGGGACAGAAGAAACATTATATTGTGTACCTATTATTCCCTTGTTAGTAGATATGTAAGTGCTTTCCATCTTATGGGAGCCTACAAAAGAATGGTTTTGAATGGCAAGATGAACTGAGACAATTTCATTAAATATAGGCTGAAGGCTTGATCCTTATGGCAAATTTACTTAACTGCAGTTCATTTATATACATAATGCAAGAAATGAGTTATAATTGTATGTTAAATATGGATTGAGTCTCATCCCAATGACATATTTATTTACCTTGTGCAAGTTGTTCTCTTTCAGTCTTGATTTCTGATCTGTAAAAGCTGCTTACAGCTTCTGGTTGTATAAAATGAACCAGGGAGGTCTTTGTAAACAACTGTAGAAATGGTTAATGATGTTATTATTTTAAAACATTTTAGAAATTGATCCTGAAGAAACAATCAAATTGTTTAAGATGACAGAAGTTCAGATTTCCAAGTGCAGAGAGTACATTAACAATGTGAACGATACCTTAAAAAAAGTTTTATCATCTTGGGCCATCTATATGGAGAACATCCAATTGCTAAAATCTTGGCTGGAAGAGACTCGAAAAGACCATCTTAAGAAGGTATGTTTATTTTTTTCCACAGTTATTGAAATTGTTTTGTAAATTATGGATGCACCATAAACATCTTATGAATTTTAACATGGTCCTTTAGATATCCCCAGAAACTTTGGCAGCTTGGAATTCACGGCATGGTTCCTTGAACGAAGCTGGAAACTTTTTGATTGAATCCAGCAATGCAGAAGTGGGATCAGCTGTTTCTGGAGAATTGAAAAAATTGAACAGAAAATGGGCTAAGCTTATAAAGAAGACAAAGTTTGTGAGTGGACATAAATACTTTACTTTCCTAATTTGATCAAATCATATTTTAAAGTACTGTGCGATGTTATAATATTAACACCTCGCTGTATTGTGAGGTTAGAGGTTAGAGAAAGAATAAAAAGTTTCATATCATCACTTTGGGTTTAAGCTCAATGCCAATAGTTCAGTGTTAGATTTAAATAGCAATAGCAATACCACCTAGACTTATATACCACTCCACAATGCTTTACAGCTCTCTCTAAGCAGTTTACAGAGTCAGCGTATTGCCCTCAACAATCTGGGTCTTCATTTTTCTAACCTCGGAAGGATGGAAGGCTGAGTCAACCTTGAGCTGGTCAGAATGGAACTCTTGGCAGTGAGCAGTGAGTTAGCCTGAAATACTATATTCTAACTACTTCTCCACCACGGCTCCATATTTTATATTTACATATTAAATCTGCAGACTCATCCCTGGTTTTTCAAAAAAAATTCAAATGAAGTGATAAGCAGCCTCCCCCAGATAGATGCTTATGAGATGTGTCGAATTTTAATCCTGTCATTCATAGTCAATTACATTTAATTTTAATATTAAGTAAAATTGCAGTGAATATTGCCATTCCTTCTGAATTTAATTATTTCTTCCTTTCTATCAAGTTAAAATTAGAATTCAGTGGCTGTAGGGACTAATCTCAAGGTTTTCTTAGACTGCAGTTATCAGTTTTACAGAAATGGAATTTGCATATGACCTATCAATTTAAGTCTATAAAAGTCATTGATGGTTTTGTAATAAATTAGCAACACAAGAGATTTATTGTGGCATAAGCCTTAATGGACCTACTTTCTTGTATGCATGAAATATTCTTAATTAGTAGATTTCTTTTTTAAAAAAGCATGGTGAAAAGACCTTGATATATGTTGATATTGCCACATTTATAAGACTCCAACTATATATACAAGAACATTAACCATTCATAATAGTTGTTACTTTATTGTGCTAATTGATAAAATCAATTAAAAGTATCATGTTTTCAGAGTCTTAGATGACTCTCATTAATGCAAACACATACATAGAATGAAGCCACCAAAGTCCAATTAACAGACTTGAGGAATTTAACAAATGTTGCTTGATGTTTATAGGAAATGAAATTGTTGAGGATGCAAGAGGAAGAAGTGATGTTAGTAACAGATAACAATGGAAATGTCGAGACTTCTAGGAAATTCAATCCAGACATGTTTAATAATCCAGTACAACCCTCAAAGGAGCTTCCTAAAAAGTGCTTTGAAAAGGCAGAGGTAAAAATCTGCTACTTTATATATAAACTGGAATTTTAGTACTTGCCTTATTTGCTGCATTCCAAACTAAATCTCTACTCTTGCCATTCATTATGGGTGATGTAGTTTCTGTGCATTTGCAAGGAATTATGGAGGGAGAGGAAAAAGGGCTTTGCTTGTTTGTGTGGACCAGTTGCTGGCATGCTACGGCCCGGTACCGGTCTACGTACCAGGGGTTGGGGACCCCTGGATTAGAGCACTTATATTTCCTGGGCTGTTACTTACTCTTTGGCTTGGTCAGCTTGGTTCAAGCCTGCTCTGGAGAGATCTAAAAGTCAGTTATCCAGAACAAAGGCTTGCATAGACTTCTAACTGTATCTTATTGGAAAATGGAGCTTTCTTACTAGGCTAAGCCCAAGAACAACGTGGAACAATCCAGCTAGAGTTCAGGACTTTATTTGCTTATATGTAATAGATGGAATCTTGCCAAACGAAATCCTTATTTCTCTTACCCTAGCAGATATTCCCTGGGGAGATTTTAGGGAATGGCTATCCAAACTTATTTGCCTCCAATCCAGGTCTGGGTTGGGCTGCCTCTTGTCTGTCCCCCCTCCCACCTTCAGGAATATGTGCCCTCCTGCTGGGAAACTGTTGCCTCACTGTAGTCCATCACCCCAACTCCCCTTCCATAGGCATCCTCTCTCACAGCTCTTTCCAACATCTGCATACAGTGTATGCTTTCATTTTTTAAAAAAAAAATCAACTGTAATGTCTCTTCCTGTAGCTGAAGTCCATTATTTCATATTCTGCACTGTGGTGAGAGATATGAGGTCTTGACCTTATTCTGAGAGATATCCTTTTAAGTATTTGAAGGGTATCATTATAGTCTCCCTCAGTTATCTTTTCTGATGGATAAGCATACCCAGTTCCTTCAATCCCTCTTCATAACAGTTTCTATTCTCCTACCATCTTCACTGCCCATAGTTGAACATTTTTCAATTTTCTCTGAATCCTTCCTAAAGTGTAGTGGCTAGAACTTGACGTAGTACTTGATGTGGAGGTATGATCAAGACAGAATATAATGGGATTATTTTACCATTTAGAGATGGTACTTTTGTTTATGAAACTTATCTTTTTTCAGCCACATCTCATCCTATATTATCTATGTCTTATATTTATCTTTTCCATTTTCTAGTTTTTAAGAGAATCAGATCCATAAAGGAATTTTTTTTAATGCAGTCCTGTAAGAGAATGAATTACAAAATTGTACACAATCCTGAAATATATACATCTTCCCATACTTGTCTGTATTTTGATAACAGTCATTGGGATTATTCCAGTTCCAGGAAAATATTTTTAGCATGCAATTAATATAAGTTTACAAAAAGTTGAAACAGTAAGTTTTTCATCTTCCATCTAAAGTCTCTAACAATTGAGTCAAAGGAAAAGATGGATCACAGGCCTTTTGATGACAGTGGATACATGATGAGACTACATGACTCTTTTTCCTATGATTTTTCTTCCTAGATTTTTCCTGTTAGCCTTCAGACAGATCCATGTACACCAGATGAGTTCTTCTCAGAAGATGAGGTCAAGCTAAACTTTGAAAAAGCTCACAAGGAACTCGAAACAATCCTTCTAAAAGCTATGCATCTTCTAGGCCAAAAGACAATTTCTGAAGAACCACATTCAAAATATGAAGTGAGTTAATCCATGATATCACTGCATAATAAACACCCTAAAGGGCAGAGTACTGTGGCTGTCATAAATGAAAAACAAAAATGGGTACTATGCGAGCTTTAAAAATACATGTTAAGGATGTCTCCAGGCAGAAGTTAAAAAAAAGTATGTTCTACCAGTGTTCCTTGTATGATACCTTGAGGTCTGTCATTATTTTTAGAGGCTTAATGGATTCTTTAAATCTTGTAAATGCTTAAGGCAGTCATTTTACCTGTAAAAGCCAACTCCCAAAACAAGCCTGGCTCTGTATACTTTTGGAATGAGATCCTCAAAATATTATGCAAAATATGGTGCAGTCTTTGAATTGATGGAAATTGTATATCCCTGATATAAATAATCTGGACTGTGAAGAACACCAAAGTGATGTCTCCAAACCAAGTCTGAAAGCACATTTTTCAGTTAACACGTTTTATTAAAAGGCATAAGCCTTGTGAGCTGCAATTCCTGCATTGGCTGGAAAAGATATTACCAGACCCCTGATTTTTTGCTGCCATAGATTAACCACCTGTTAACAGAAACAGCAACCTTATGTTCATTAACAGTTACAATTTAGAAACTATAGTTAATATTGGTTTAGAGTCTTTTCCTTACCTGTAAATATTAAGTTGCCTAAATCATCATAGTGTTAGGGCTCATACTGTATAGATACCAGTGTACCCAAATAATATAATGTATTACTTGCATCTTACAGTTCAGTAAAATAATATTTTTCTTTTTTTAAAAAAAAAGAAATGGCAGTGCCTTTTTCCCTTCTGCTTTTGATTGTAAACTAATTGAAATATGATGGCATGTCCTCAAGGGATGCAGCTTCTTGGTAAAAAAGCTGCATCTAATATTGTTAAACATACAAATACACTTGAGTGTTTAACTCAGGAATCCAGTAGGCCACACCTGCTGGTTTTATCTAGTGAGGGCTATGGGGCTGAGATCAGCACAGGGTAGAGTGGAGATACTTATAATTTTCCTATTCAGTGCCCTAGAGTTATATCAAAGATCTAATGGGAAGGGATAGTAACAGGTCTTCAAACTAATAAGACCAGAGAGCCAAGAAAGATACACAAACCAGTCTGTGATGTTATCTGCATGTTAGGGCTACAGAAGCTATTCAGTGCATTATGTCCTAGGGGCTGACTCAGTGTTTCTTGACCTTGGCAACTTTAAAATATGTGGACTTCAACTCCCAGAATTCTCCAGCCAGCATGAAAATATTGAATGCACATCAGATGAGCTGTTCTTGTTCTGATAGTGGCTTAAAACAAGTTATTTCAAAGGCTGTCCCTCTATGTCCAGCAAACCTTGTTTTAATCTGTAATTCTACTGGAATCGGAAGAACCCTTGTATCACCTAGGCACAATCTACTTTGGGGCAGGGGGGTGGCTGTTTTGATTATCATTCCATAATTTTATGTCATTTTCTTCCAGGAGGCTTTTAGCATCTTGGACACTAACATTCTTAGCAAGTTTTTGAAAGCAGTGGAACAGCTGAAAAGCATTTTATCGGCTCATGAAAAGGCACTGGTGGAGGAAAGGAGCAAAGATGTTTGTGATAGATGGGAGGTGAGAAAATGTACTTGGAAATAGATATTTTAATCAAGAAGAAGCCACTTGAGTATTTAATATTTACATGAAATGTTTGCAGGGTTTTTTTCCTGCAGTATGAGTGATATAATGGTGAGAATTATTAGCTTCATCCCAAGAGACCTAGGCTGAAGATATGTCTCAATAAATTAGTTCCACTAGGTATTGATGGACAAGTTACTTTTATGTGGTTGCCAGAACTTTCTTTATATCTACAGCAACTGTATACAGCAACTGTATAGAGCAGCAGCCCCCAACCATTGTGGCTTGGCAGCCCAGCTGGGGTGGGGAGAGAGATAAACTGGGCCACACGACTGGTGGGCTGGTGTACATGTGTGCACGTAGTCCAACTTACATGAGTGGTGGGCCGGCATGCACACACAGGCAGCTTAACTTGCATGAGCGGCAGATTGGCGCACATGCACGCAAGTGCTCGCTGACCTGCTGCTCGCACAAGTTGAGCTGCACGTGAGCCGACCAGCCATTCACACAGCTCAGTTCCAAATAGGCCACAGCCTATTCATGTTTTAACTTGCTTGCCTTTTCAATAAAATTGTCAATATTTAAAGTTGATGTATTTACAGTATATAAATATTAGATTAGATGAATAAATAAAACACATACAGAATGATATTTTGCTATTGTTCTCTGTGTGTTTTATTTGTTCATTTGTTTTTCATCATGGATTTCATTGTTAATCACTATAGACATTTTTAATGAAGGGAAGTGCCTAAATATACTAAACAAATACGTAGAGGAGAATTTTGTGAACCCTTCTATATTCTCTCTCTCTCTTATTTACATTTCCTTTGGATGAAATTTAATCTTTTAATTACAACTTAATTCTTTTATGTTTATTTTGCTGTTAAATGCCTTGAGTGTTGTGTTAACTGGAAACTCAGGAAGGTTGCAATGAACAGACACATAGCTTGCAGGGTTCTGAAACTAACATGTTATTCTGATCTTAGTACAAGATTTGGATGTAAAATACTTCCCTTGTACTTAAAAAGAATATTCAGATTTGACCATCTCTTTTGCAGGCTGCTCGCTGTGAAATCATGTCCTATATTCACCTGAAATTGAAAATCGAAAGAGAGAAGTTCAATAAGACTTTTTCAAATCTCAATAAGCAGATAAATAAAGAGAAGAAACTGCTCAATGCAGGGAAAACAAAAGGACTTATTGAGGAGCATGAGGTACCATGTAAAATTGGCATTCTCTTTTGTTTCTCAGACAATTTTTATTTTACAAGATACCATATAATGGACCAGAATTACCGTTGTGGTTTTCTGGCATTTCAATGCCAAGAGAGATTTCCTTTGACTCTGTTTCCTGACATCATTGTCACTGGGAGAGGCCAAAAACTAAAACTGGAATTGTCTGCCTGCTCAACTGGGAAACAATGTAAAACTGAATGATGCCTTAGTATAATGATATAATGATGTATTTAGTAAGTTGGTTAGCTGCTTATCCCAAAGTGAAATAATTATAACCTATTAGTTCAGTAGAATCTATATACCTGAGACGAAAACGTGCACATTCTGCCTGTACAGTAAGTAGACAGGATATATATATATATTTATCCATGATGGTACCTGTGAAATAAATTACAGGTGAACAATAACTGGGTAGGTATTCTGATCCTTTTAGTTTTTTCTCTGCTATTTGGCTGTCCAGTATTTTGGATTTTCTTTCTAAAAGGTGCTTTGGATCATGTGCCTGTTTGAAGCATGGCAGACAGAAGTTAAATTTGCCCCTCTGCATATTCCAAGGCACCTTTGGTTATTGAATTTGATGCACCTTATGGACTAGTCATCTAATGGAGCAAAGAGTTCATCAACAAGGACAATTGAATGTGTTAACAGATCAACCCTCTGGCTTCTGAATTTCAGCAGATATTCCTCATCCATAGCGCAGCCATAGCCATGATGCTTCAAGAATATGATTGGTTAAATTAGGTTTAAATATGTTTGTGGGATTGTCATTAAGAGTTTTATAGCAAGTTAACAAGGACTTGGAGTACTCAAGATGGATGTATCTGCATTTCTGTATCCATTTAGGCCTTCTTTTCTCAGCAAGGTAGCCTGGGTGAGCTTAACACTTGCTTACAAGCTTTGAAGACAATGAATGATAAAATAACCAAAGTGGAAAAGGAGTCCAAAATAAAGCTGCCAATTGCAGAATATGAGCAAAAGAAAAAAGAACTTCAAAAATGCGCAGCAACTATTTATAATGAGTTGGTATCTAGGACTGGCGATGACCATTCATCTGAGAAAGAGTGGGTATTTTTAATAATTAGTGTAGAACTGTGGCATTGGGGCACTTATAGTTAGTTTAGCATAAAAAATGCTTTTGTGGGAGAAATGACAGCCCCTCATTTCATGGCTGGAGTAATGGATTTCATTATGCTATAAATTAAAACCAGACATTTTACAAAATGTTAGTGTGGTAAGCTATTTTGGAGGAAGGAGCTTATAAGTCACCATTATGTGTAAATTGGTCCTGAAATTAAAATAATTTTTCCGAAAGGGGGACATGGAATGGAATGGAATGAAATAGAATAGAATAGAATAGAATAGAATAGAATAGAATAGAATAGAATAGAATAGAATAGAATAGAATAGAATAATAACTTTATTGTCACTTTGAATGTACACTAATTGGCATACATGAAATTTCATTGCATTCAGCTCACAAAGGGTCACCCCCTCCAATATACACTACATATATGGGACATGGGAGCAAAGAAAGTCAGACTCAGAACAGCAGTGGGGTGACTTTATGTCACCGGCTCCAACTATTTTTTACATGCATTGCTGTATCACACATGTGCCCAATGTGCACAATATTGTAATGTTGTTTCCATCATTATGATGAAAATAGAAAGTCCCCGCAAATGCTACTATTTGTGATGTAGGAATAGAACATGTCAAATTTTAATTCCAAGGAAGAGCCAGGGATGGAGATGACAGGGAAAGAAGACAAGAAATGAAGTCTGGGAAACTTTGAATTATTTTCTCAGTAACATATAAATAGAATTGGGATGGTGCTTCTCTTTTTTCCAGTGTTAAGAGGTATTTTTCATTGCTCTGCTCTGATGTTATTTCATTTTAAAATTCAGAGATTTTAAACCTGCTTCAGTCAATGAAGAGAAGGTATCATCTCAGAATCCTGAAGCTGAAAAGGTAAGTGTCACATTTTAATGTTCATTTAGATCAGCCTTCCCTAATCCAAAACTGAGTTTGGGGAGTTGCATTCCATCTGGCTGATGAAGACTGATGTATGTACATAAATGTCTGTAGATCAATGTCTGTTTGTTATTAGGTGACAGCCTGAAAAATAGTCTTGCATGGATTACAGAGCCACACACTGGAAACCTGAAATTCATAGGTGCTGTAGAATTTGCCCTTCTTTGCATAACATTTTTGTCCATTGGTGATGATAAGGTCTGTTTAGTATAGCAGTATAACATTCATGCTATTAATTCATTAATATCTTTTGATATCAAGGCTTTTAATACAAACTGTTATCCTATAATAGCAGCTGTGCTGCATCCTCCTCAGATACAAACAGTCTGTTGCATCCCTTCTGCAGCATCACCTACTGACGTTTGCCTTGAGTGTTAATTCCTTGGGCTTCCAGAATGGAGCTGGCTAAGCCAGTCGTTCTCAACCTTAGCAGCTTGAAGTCCAAGTGGCCAAGATTGAGAAATACTGGGCTTAGCAGTTGCAGGTTTCTTTTGCCTGAAAGTTCCCTCTCACTGACCAAGATGCTTTGCTTGGACACTTCAGACCAACTGGATAGTATATGGATACAGCTGGCTATGGAGGCAGTGAGTTGGGTGAGAAGGCAGTGAAAGTCACAGGCGTGCTTAGAGGTGGATCCTCAACATCATTGCATCATGATGCAGATGACATAAATTGCAGTGAAATTTCATCCTTTGAATGCAAAGTCTGCTGCACTAAGACCTTTCAAACCAATGTTTTGCTGTATTGCAACTTTTTAAAAGAAGCAGAAAAAGTTATTACAATCCTTCCTGAAATCAGGCATAAGTTATTCCCTTGACAGCCTCTGAATTCCATGTCTGGATAAATCTAATTTAAAAATATCTTGGAAGTTCCCATTAGCATTGACACTCTCCCCCCCCTCGATAATGGTTTTGAATAAATAAATATAGTTGAATTTACTCGTTCTGCATAGTCATTTACTTATTCTGTCTAAAAGAAATTGTGAGGAATAGTATTTGACACTTTCATAATTCTGATTGGTAAACCAGAGAGCAAATCTCAGATGCTTATTTGAAAATTAAGATTTATTTTAAAACTACTTTCTACAAGCATTTTAGAATTGTATTCTGTAAAAGTTGTAATTTCTACCCTGAGCATATTTTACTATTTTACCATTCCTAATACATAGGAAAGAAATAGCGCAATAAGGATATTTGGCTTTAGGTATGGCTGAACCCAGCTTTTAAGCATATGGAAAGTTCACCTCTTTATCAACATGAATGGGAAAATATAAATATTCAATATCCCAACTTTTCATATAAAATGTCCTGAATTAGGATAAAATAAATCTGTGAAAGTAATTTCCCTTGTGGCTTTATAACCTTCAGTCTTTTTAAATCTTTAATTTTGGGGGTGAGATTTCTTTTATATGGAAAATTAACAAGATCTTGTTCCATTAACTATACATAATTATTGTTATGGATATTGCAATTATTTATATATTTTGGTTATATTTTTAGGATTCAGAAGATGTTTCTTGTATAAATTTGGAACCAGAAAAGGAATTTCAAAATGGCAGACAGCATGCAGAAAAGTTGGAAAGTGATGGAGACTTGGCCTTAAAAAAATTAAAAGAAAGGTATATTTCAGTGTAAAATATTGAAGTGACAAGAAATAAGTATTTACCAGAAATATCTGGAATAAATTTGCAAACATCTTTTTTTTTAAAAAAAAATAAAAATAAAGCTGAATCTTCAAAGTGGCTTATCTTGTTTTAATCTGTCAGATTCCAGTCCTAGAATTATTATAGAGAGTAACATAAAATGCATTTTCCTCAAGTTGTTCTCTTTGGATTACTCTGAATAATTATTTTAGATTTCACAATCATTTGGTCTTGAAATAACCTAGGGCTCTTCCGATTGAGAGAAGTGCCTTGCTTTATCTCCTTTTGGGAAATTTCTACGGTGTTCCTTCCTCAGCCTCAGAAATCAGACCTCTCCTGGTTGGATTTGCTTACTTGCATGTTGAACAATTTAAGAACCTGTTTCTTTTTTGTACTTGGTTTTTGTGGCCCCTGGCCAGAAAGTAAATTTAAACATAAAAAAGCACATTTAGTTTAGGATCTGCAAGTAAGAAGATGATTGCATAAGTCAAGGTGGCTGATAGAAGAAATGAGAAAGTATTAAGAAACAAACAGTTGTATTATTTCATGAAGATGAGGAGGAGAAGGCAGCATTAGAAGAAGCAAGAATCTTGTTTTCATGTCCAATTTTGCATAATACTAATGATATCAAGTTTTCTCTTAGCTATGACAAAGCAAGACATAATCTGAAGCTTCACCTGAAGAGCATCAGAGAGACTATAACTCTGTCTTTCATTGATGATGTGAGAAACATTTCTTCCCTTCAGAAGAAATTGCAAACACTGGAAGTAAGTGTTTAGGTGCTTTCCTAATTTGTCTGTTAAGTCAGGGTTCCTCAGACATTTAGCATAAGTGGCTCTATTTGGAATTTTGAGAGAATATAATGGACGTGTTCATAAAATGGTTATTAGGTCAGATGGAACCAGTTATAAAATACCTGTAAACCAGAGGACAAATAATAGCCTAGGATACAACTATCCTCATTTGAGTTTCTGACAGTGACTCGGGGGCCACTAAGAGAGCCAGTAGCACTGTTAGTATAAGATTCTGCTTGAGGCGGATGCTTTGGTTTATATTCTGTTAACTTCATATTAATTTTTTTAAACAAATATTTTTTAAAAATGAATTTGTAAGGCAGGAAGCTTGGTGGATGCCAAAGAATGTGTCACGATGCAATTCACTGCACTTTTGCTGAACAAGCATCAAAAGTAATCTTGGGGTATTATGTAGACAGGCATTTATTTTGCCAGTAAAAAACAAATGGATTCTAATGGGTCACTCCATGGAACAGCTTGCAAAAGAAACATACTGCAGGACATGTTGCATGACACTTTTGTTTATTAAAGTCAAGATTATAGTTTGCAATCCTTAACTGTTTCTTGGAATCTAGCAATGGCTAACACAAGAGTTTGAATTATACCTTCTCTAGGCTTATCTTTTCAATTTGAACAGAATTAGCATTGGTACTTACTGAGCATTCATTAGGTTCCTATGCAGAGAAATTGACAAATGAATTAATTTAATAATTACATTAATTATTAAAATTAAATTAATTGCTTTTAATTATTAAATTTATTAATATTCCAATTAGAATTTATATGACTGTATTATAATCAATAGATGAACTGGCTGTGCATTGTCTCAGTTAAAACACTATGTTAAACTATGGAAAAAGGCATAGTTGAACTTTATTTCTATGTTTTTGTTTATAAATCTGACAATGTTACTTAAAAAAAATATAGCATGTCACTATTTATACATTTTGTTTCAGGCTTTAGATAGCAAAGGTGATTCTTCCTGGAAACTGTTGGATTCTGTGGCTTCACAGTTAGTAAAGTTCTCAAGTGAGATGGACAATCCTGTCATCTCTGAGAAATCTCTGGAAGATTTGCACAAAGAATGGGATGAGCTCCAGTTTGCTTTAGATAAAAGGTACAGTTGGCAAATTAAAACTTGAAGAAGCAGTGGGCTAATTGAATGGACATAAGGGAAACACACATAGATTTTGTCTTCAACAGAATCAGTAATGCCCTGTTCTGAACTAGCCTGACTTATCAGATGGTATGAGAGATGGAGAAAGTTAGTTTAGCTTGCAGATTGCCTCCTAAGTATTCAGCTGTTCATGTGAAGAGGGGATGGCTTATACTCCTTATGGACTGAGACCACAGAAAGTGAGAAGAAGTGATAATGCACAATCTGGATTGATTTCTAGGAAAGTCTCATTTAAAAAAAAATCATATTCTTCTAGCCTTGAAAGGGAACAATAGAGATTCCCCAAAAATGAAGATAACAAAGATGTGTTCAAGTTGCCCCATCATTACGAACTTCTAAGAGAAGTCATAGTAACTGATATCAAACATTATATCAAATTAGATTTGTCAAACATGGCACATCCACATAGATGGCCAGTTCTTTCAATAACTTCTGCAGGCAATGGAAGTAATCTTGGGAAGTTTTGTTCTGTTTCTAGACTTTATTCTTATTCTCATGTGGGCTAGATATTTTAAACAAAATGGTGAGTTGGGGCATTGATTATCCTACTCCTGTTAATCAAAATTTTACAAAGTCTGGCTGATGCTCAAAAGCTAAGACTTTTAATGAAAAAGCAAAAAGCAGAAATCCTTGGGTGTATGCCACATTCTATGTTAATGGAGTTGTATCAAGAACTGTTTTGTTCTTATATATTGTACAATGTGTGGAGACATTTCCTTAGGTGATGTCCTGTTCATTTTGCACTTGCTGTCCTTCAGGATGGAATCTTTAAAGGCTGCTTTGGCCCTTGTTATGCCAATAGAAAATGAGTGGGTCTTACTCTGCAAGTCAGAAGAACAACTTTGTAAAAGAGACATTCCACGTTGTATGATGAGTAAAACTGATCTTCTGTACAAAAAAGTGAAGGTTTGTACTGATCATGTTAAAATTTTCTTTGGAAATTCAAATAATATCTATTCATCTTCAAAGATTAGCCCCAGATTCTTCTAGAGCATTAAGACTATATTCACAAAAATCCTAAGTGCAAAATTGCAAAAAGAAATTTTCAGAAAAGAACTTGGAAGTAGAAATGATGAAGTCTCCTCTTTTCTCAGTTCAACTTCCCAATCTCAGCCACTTTTCTCTAAGGGAAAGTGGTGGTAAACAGAAAGAGGGGTTCTGAATCTTTCTTTACTTTGTATTATATTATAATGTTTATTACAGCCCAAAGACCCAAACTGGTCTTCTTTAAGTGCTTTCCTCCAAATCTGTTTATTCCCCTAGAAGAATAATCATATATAAGTCTGTCTGCTCATCATTTTTCATCAACAAAAGTAGATGTGGTGCTTAAGAATATAAGAAACTCAAGTACTTTATATCAAGTTGACCTGTTGGTCCATCAACACTGACCAGTAATACTGGAGCTTTTTAGAGTATCAGGCAGGAGTTTTTCCAGCCCTAGTTAGAGAAGTGTCCTTCTGAATAAAAGTATGCAGGCTACCATTTTGCTATAGAGCCACCTGTCATTCTTCAGATTTAGTAAGTGTAATTGCATAGTAATTAATATTATGCATAAAACATAGTTTCCAGATCCTATCATCCTTTCTTTCAGAAAATCCAGGCATCTATAGCAAATTGTATTGAACAGTGCAACAGCCAAGAGCAAAAAAGCCCTGCAGAATGGACAACTGACCAAAGAGATCGGCAGGCCATTGGTTTAATGATCAACAACTATAAAACACAGTTAGAAGAACTGAGTCAAAAGATAGAAGTCATTGAAACAATTTTACAAGATCTTGAAAGTTTTCTGGCTTCCCTGAGACGTATTCAATGTTCTGTGGATGCCTCTACACCGCTGAGCTGGTCTCCTCAGTCAATGCAGGAGGTTTCTCATATGGAGAAAGAAGCCAAGTCTCTAGATGAGAAATTGAAGCAACTTCATATCTATTTGGTAGAGGCTGAAAGTGGTAAAAATATGAGCTGTGAAGAGTTTGTAGCAGCTTTACTTATAAAGGAATGCCCCTCTATTGGTTTTGAAGCAGCAACAGAGTATACCCAGAATCAAAAGACTGAAGAATTTTCCCTGAGGAATAATGAACTATTTAAAAATCTTCAAGATATATATGATTCAATCAGTGTGATAGGCTTGCGGGACCCAACAATTCCTGCTATTTCGCAAAGGTGAGAAAGCCTTTTTTTCACTAATTTTACATCTTCTGGTTGGGAATTATGGAAGCTTCTTAAAACTGGAAATATTTTAAAATAATATAATAATAAAATACAATATAATAAATATAATACAATAATAAATCTGAAAGTATTTTAAAATAATAGAATATCAGAATAGTCACAGTGAAATTACAAGGTATCAATCTATTTTTTTCTCTTGATAATATAGGTTGAAGTTGCTCAATGAACTGTGGAAGAAGCTTGATCGCTGTGCTCCAGAAATGAAAGCCTTGAATGAGATTAGTCAATTTTCCCAGTTGCCAAAAGCCCAGGAAAATGAGGTCAGTCGGCAGTGGACACTTACTCAGGACCTATGGAAGAAGACTAAACTTGCCATTACTGAAAAGTAGGTCACGATTCTATATTTATATGTACCTCCTAGGAAGTCCTACTGATATTCAATAAAACTTACTTCTGAATAGATTAGGACTGTACTATACATACATACATACATACATACATACATACATACATACATACATACATAATGCTGTTCTGCTATATTGCATGCAGCTGTAGACTGAGACATTGCTCATCTTCCCATATTGCAATAAATTAGAGATAAATGATCACTCATGCTGGAACACATAACTTCCCTTTTATATCTTCTTTAATTGGAAATTAAAGAACTCGTGAAATTTTTTTTTATGTTTATCAAAATTATTAACTCTGTAAAACAAGTAAATTATCGGAAGCCAAGAGCAAGCCATATTTTCTGCCCCTGGTTGTGGGAAAAATCAACTTGGAACTTTTGGTTAAAATACTATAAAAAGAAAATGATGAAAAATGTGTCTAGAAATTGAAAAAAAATGTCTTTTTGCAAGAAAAATGTATACACAAACAGTATGTTTAGTTGCTTCTCTTAAAAGAAACTAGAGCAATTGAGCAGTATGTACCTGTGTGTTGACTTGTTCATAGAAAGCCAGAATTCTCCTAAATCCTGGCTGGGTCAGTTCTCTTACTTGGAAGTATTGAATGATACAACTCTTGGGGACTGGACAACTTTTAAATGATAACTCGAGACTATGTGATTGAACTTTAGTTTGTGTAAGAAACTCTACGTTGGTAAGGAAGTAGCATGTCAGGGAATTAAAATTTTCTCTATGGAAGAATGAAAACTCCCCTTTCTTGCATTCTAACTGGAAGAGTCCAAGAAGGGACCTCCTACTTTGATATTTTAAAATGGACATTCTTATCCTCTCCTTGCTCACTTTGTATATTTGTTTTTATAATATTTATTTTAAATGTGGATTGTTATATTTTTATATGTGTTGTTTTCATATTTGTGATTTTAATCGATTGTTGTATATTGTCCAGAGTCACTTTTAGAGAGATGAACAGCTATAAAAATTTGATTAATAAATAAATATTCTGCAGCCAGTGACGTATACAGGTAGTCCTCCTTTAGTGACTGCCTTGTTTAGTAACAATTTACAGTTATAACAATGATGAAAAAAATCACGTTATAATCTATTCTTGCCTTTAGGATTTTTATAGACCTGTAAGATGAAGTAAGATCATAAGCACAGTTGTGTGTTCATTTAACAACCACTTTGCTTAATGACCAAGTTGCTAATCCCAGTTGTGGGAGACATTCTTATAAATACTCTCAGTCTCTTCTGTCTTTACATGGTCAGTTATCTTCATAATTGATGCCAATTATCATAGGTATCTATCATAACTAGAACAGCAGCTTAGGAGTGGGCAATGCAAAATTGGAAAGAAGTTAAACTTCTCTCCCTATGTAGTACGATTCTAATTTTAATTTTCCTCTAAGATGGTATATGAAACTATGAAAGCATATTCCTGCATTTAATCCCTAGTTTAGTCCTAAAGGCTACTAATTCTCTTCTTCATTTTTGAGAAAGCTTATTTACTTTGGAGTTGAGTGGGCATACTGGATTCCTTGACGTGTTCATAATGATTTGAAAAATAAGGTTCTCTAATCTTAGGCCGGTGTGTAAATGTCTCCAATTTTCTTTTGGCTTTGTTCCCTTCTATAGGCGTGAGTACTGTAAAAGCACAATGGAACTCTTGAAGCAATATCAAAGCTGCAAAACCTGTTTGACTAGCATTATTCTGAAGCAAGAAAATGCCCTATCACAGCAAGCCTCCTACATGGGAAAAGAAAACCTGCAGAAGATAATTGCTAAGGTGAAATTTTAGGGAATTTTTGTACATAGGAAACCATTTCTCTGGTTCTGTGCAAATGAGCAACACCCTGTAGCATTCAGTGATGGACATGAGACACAATGCATTGAGAACTGGAAGACAAACTCCAAACAAAGATCTAGCAATTAGCCATAAGTATTTTTCCTCTTTCACTGCTGATCACTGTATTAAAAGACAGCAGTGATGCTTTAAGTATAAAGTATCATCAGTTATATACTGCTTAGGTATATCATCAGTTGACGCAAAAGTCTAATCCCTAGTCATGAAAACCTATAAAGCCCCCAGTTCAGAGTTTTATCATCAATTTGAGCTGCCTCTGTCTGGATCAAGAACACTATGTTTTATGGGCAGAAACTGTGTCTTACTTTTTGGTCTGTTGCTGTCTATCCAGTGCAGCTAGTAACTTGCAGATTCATTGTGAACAGTGATAAAATCCTAATTTTCCTACTCTACGAGTGTGTTCCAATGTTCCAATGAAATGGGAATTATGAATCCATGTAGAGTACAGTCCAGAGATGCATTGCTTGGTGGCCTTTGGCTAATACCTATTAAGCACTGATTGCATTCCTTCCAGCCTGCAGTAGATACAATCTGAAAACAAATCTTCTCTGCTATGGAACAGAATTCTTAGCAGTGATGCATTAGAGAAGCCCCACCTGTATACAGTGTTGCCATCAACACTCCATGGGGAGATAAGAGAAAAGCTTCCAAGCCAAAAATCTTTGGGCTTCTTCCAGGCCTCATCCTGCAAGTGTTAAGATTTTTCAGCTTTTACCATGTCTATAGGCAAGCTTCCTGTCGATTAAGACATAGATAAGTCTCATGCAAAGCGCTTACTATAGGATAGGGGAAAAATTACTCACAGGTACCCAACTTTCCATAAATCATGAAATATATCTCTGGAACAAGATGTTAATACAGACTTATGACCTCAATTGAGCTCAAAATTTCTGTTGTTAGGTGAGACATTTGTTAAATGAATTTTGCCCCATTTTATGACTTTTCTTGCCACAGTTGTTAAGTGAATCACCACAGTTGTTAAGTTAGTAACACGATTGTTAAGTGAACCTGGCTTCCCCATTGACTTTGCTTGTCAGAAGGTCCCAAAAGGTGATCAATGAACCTGGGATACTGCAACCGTCATAAATATGAGTCAGTTGCCAAGTCCCCGAATTTAGATCACATGACCATGGGGATGCTGCAACGGTCATAAGTGTGAAAAATGGTCATAAGTCACTTTTTTCAGTGCTGTTATAATTTCAAATGGTTGCTATGTGGACTGTTGTAAATCGAGGACTACCTGTTTAGGATATTTTAAAATGTCAATAATATTTCCATGCTTGAATCGGAAGCAAAGTTTATCAATAGACAACAATGTCAACATTAACAAAATATATAAAGAAAAGAGGTAAATATTCAGAATTTGATAATATATGTTTGTTCTGTTACCTGCCTTGAAGATTTAACTTTGCCTCAAGGAGGACTTGAAATGGGTCGTTCCATTTCAGAAGAATCTTGACAACACTTTCTGTATCTTTGTTACTTAAATAAAGGTCTAAAGATTTCTCATTCCTGGTCTTTTATGATTCTCTCCAGTTTATGCATAATGTGATTAATAATGAGAGTCAGAATCTAAATACTTACGTTTGATGTATCTTTCCTTTCTGCCAAGGTTGTTTTATTTGGATTCGGCAATGTCATGAGAGTAAAGCATTATCTCATACATCCATTGCTAAATTTCCAGTTTATTAATTCACAGGTGCAAAGAGAGGGTCCTTAGCTTTGGGTTTGTTTTTTTAAAGAGTATTGGCACAAAGATCTGCCATGTCATTCCTGATCTGGCTCATGTGCATTAGTATTTTTAAGTAAATAAACTGGTGAGAATTCTTCCCCCTCCCCACCCAAAGTATGCAGAGTTTCATGCTTATTTTTTTCTGTTAGAGGAATAAGAAGACAAGTTGTCTATCATCTGTTGCTTGAAAACCTTTGTCCTGCTTTCTCATTGTCTAGCTGGATGTACTAAAAACAGAGTACTGTCTGACAGGGAACAAAGCTGTCATTAACAAAAGCTTTATAATTGCCAAGTGGTATAGGTCAGTTCTCCACTGCCTGTGTTTGTGTGTTTTGGTGGCATAAGAGCCACTTCAGAAGCCCAAAGTGGAAAATAAAAATGGTATTTTGCAAGTTTCAGAGACACAAATTTGGTGATACAATTCTATAAATTAAAATGGATGATTCATTTTTTGAAACAACTGTAGTTATCAGAGGGAATATTGTATTACCTGAAAAACAATTTGTTTATTATTATATGTAGAACAAAATATTTGAGGTTTAATTTGCCATTAACAATCCAGGTCCTGCTTTCAACATAGTTTTGACAGTATAATTCAATATTATAGGAACAGTATATGGCAAATCTGTGAGAGGAGAATTGGGAGTCCATATATTTGAAAAGAAGATGAATAAACAAACAAATAAATCTGAAATATACTTGCATAAAAAGAAAGCAGAATATTGCTCAAAGTTCAAAATATTTGAATAGATTTAATTCTTGATAAAAAGTAACTGATTTTTTTAAAACTTGGAAAATTCATAATAAAGCATAACTCTGTTACTTTTTTCTCATTCTTGTTGATGCTGAAACGAATATAAATATTGAAAATCAAAGGCAGTGCCATTTTCCATTTTGACAAATTTCGGACTCTTTAGAATTTTCCACAAATGCAACAAACCTGTTCATAAACTTGTTCATTCTCGTCTTTTCATAGGTCAACATGGCAAAGGAAGAATTTAACAATTACTCTGAAGATGTTGATAGATTAAACCAAATGTGCAAAAATCTTCAGTCTCAAGTGAACAAAATGAAGAGTTTTGAGGAACCCCCATTTGAGAATGAGGCTAATGCTATTGTGGACCGGTGGCTGGATGTATGTTATATAAACTAACTATAAGGATGTTCCAAATTATCATTCATTGTAATAATCAATTTTGACTTCCAAGTATTATTCAAAGTAAATTAAATTAAATTTAGCATGATGAGGAACCCAAAAAGAGGGAAATTGGAGCATGCTTAAACAAAGTGGGACTCAAAGAAATGCATATTTTTATTTTATTTGAGATTATTCTCAAAGATATAAACAAACAAGCAATATTATCTTATGCTGTTTATATTGCTTAGCACTCCCAGGAGTTTTTCCATGGGTGCATATCTTAAGAATGTCTTACTTCAATACTTTAAAAAGCTAGAGAAGGACACTGACTGCTTTATGAATATGCCCAGGCAGTTCCTAACTAAAACCAGTTAGGACACATTATTGGAAGAAGATTCCATCTAATAAACCAAGCCACCTCGCCAAACCTGTCTGTAGAGTCTGGAGCGCTATTGTGATCTTTGATATGATAATCATATTTGGCAAGAAACTGGCTGTATCCTATGGGAACATTGGATTACTTCCCTCCCCTTATTTGTTTTTGTGTCTGGCTTCATTTTACCTTGCCTCTCTTCATGTTCTTACTTGATTAAAAAGCTTTATGTTCTGTTTCTTTCTTCTTTTTTGGAAAACCTAATTCCATCTTCCAGATCAATGAGCGGACTGAAAGCTATTGTGAAAACCTGGAAAGAGCTTTGGCTTTATGGGACAAGCTTCTTAACTTATCCAGTTTGATTGATGAGTGGTCAGATGCAATGCAGAAGAACTTAGAAGATGGGAACGTGACTGAGAAGGAATTGGAAGAGTTGGAGGTATGGTTGATAGGGATTATTTGTCATTCAGTAACTGCAGTCAACTTTTTCTAAATTGGATGAAGAATGGTACAATGCCATCAAGCTGTGATTCAAGATCTAAAGTTCTGTTTTTTTCTTCCTCCTTGTTCTCTTTTCCATATTGCCATCCTTTCTCTGACTTTCTTTTCCTCTGCTTGAATGCAATGAGAGATTCATTCATAAAATACCTAGCATTTCTTTATGAGAGGCAGATATGAAAAAGATATGTTTGAAAAGCTATTTTTATACTGAAAGGGGAATTTTAATTTGAAATGATAGTAGGTGTTACAACAAAGATTAATATAAAGTCTTCAAAACTCTTACCATTCTTGTGTTAAGATGCAGCCGGTTTGAAAAGGAATCCAGTGCAAATAATTTGTCATGAGAAAGTTCTTTTATTTTTAGTCAAATCACTCCCTCGTGTTGCTCAGTATTACCTACATTAAATAGCAATCTTTCCCCATCATACCTGAAGATGGCAGAAATTGATCTTGGGGCCTTTGACCCAAAATCAGGGCAGGGCAGCCTAAATCTCCAGGGAGATTCTATTTCAAAGAGCAGATGCCATGAAAAGGAATGCCTTCTAGTTCCCATCAAATTACATTGCTTAATGCAGTGTTTCTCAACCCCAGCAACTTTTAAGACATGTGGACTTCAATTCCCAGAATTCTCCAGTCAGCTCTATGGTTGTTACAGAACAGGCAGAGAAGATGGGAAAGAGGCAATCCCTCTGGCATTCAGGCTGCATGCCATGAAGGGCTTTATAGGAGGTAATCATCACTGGTAATCAGTCTAGCTTAATAGCAGAGGTGCTACATTGGGTATCCTGAGTTGTGTTCATAACTGTTTAAGCCATTGCATTTTGGCCCAGTTGTTGCTTCCTGGCAATCTTCAAGGGCAGTGCATTATGACTTCTATTCAATACTAACTGGTAAAATAAAATTTACAATTAGATAGTTTCTACATAATCTGTTTTCTGTATCTTCTCAGGCCGATATCCTGTGCCAAGAAAAAAAGTTAGAGGAATTTGATACAAAGGTGGATGAAATTCAGTGTCTTCTTAATGGCAGTGAACCCCCACTTGAACTACAGGTGAAAGAGGAGAAATAACAAGAATTATGATTGTGGTTGATATAATAGGCCTGCTTATCTTTGTTGTCCAAAAAAGATTTTCTATTCCTTTTGTATTGCCTTGCAATAATGAAAATAAAACACAATTGTAAAGGTCTCTTTTGCTATCAGGTCTGCCCCATTCAACCGGACAGTGCAGGGTAATTACTGTTTCGGCTGGTATTCAGCACCACTGTCTTATTTTCTTCTCTTCGACCAAGGATATAGGAGCAAGGTGAAGGAAGGAAAATGCCTTCCATTCTGTTACTTCTCTTCAGGCTGACTATCTGATACTGACTCAAAGTGCTGTGATATGTCGGAAGTAACAGAAACTTTGGTGCCTGTTTCTGAGCTATATTACCAGATTACAGCCACTAAGATACAATCTGGTGCCATCTAATTGTCCATTGCATCTAGAAGTCAAAATGTTTTATATTTCTCTCTGAGTCCTATGAAGAGGGTTCATTTTTTTTTCTTTCACTCATAAGAAGCTCTAGTTCTCTCTAGATGACTATAGGAAGAAAACCTCAAGAAGACCCCTTCCTTGCTGTTTAACCTCAAGGGAGGAAGGTTGAGTTGGTCAGGAATTAGCTGGGCTCACATCTAGGCTGAAAATGCTCCCATCTAGTGATTTTCTGGAGTTTTGAAGGTGAGATGCAGTAGCTCTAATTGAACNAACCCCCCCCCCCCCCCCGCCTAGTCATCTTAGTTGAGATTAAAAGGATTGGGACATAGGTTAATTCTGTGTACACTCTGACAAACAGAAATCTCTGGAAACTTGCTTTGCCAGAAGTGCCTGGCAAATACAGTTATGAAAACCCAGAAGTATGTTTGTGCCTCAGAATGTGCATCTGTGTGTGGGGAGAGTACCTTCCTTGTAAGTATTTGAGTATCTGTGTAGAAGGGGAAACTTCTCATAAGCCTCTCTATGTATACATGTCAGGAAAGAGAATAACACTAATAAAGATACTTAGCACCTAAATTAGACATTTTTTGTGGGGGGGAGGACTGCAACGAAACATCTGCCCTACTTTTACAACATCCTTTGCACCCCATGAAAGAAGGGAAATATTTTCAGTGATGTTCTCAAGAAAATGCTAGAAATATTCTACCTAAGTATGGGGAAATAATGTTAACAAGTAGTGGTAGTGCATAGTAGAAATGATTTTTCTGAAGGAAGAAATATTCTGTCCTGAAGCACATATATTGTTGCTTCTGACTGTGACTGTTGCCCGTAATCAGTCGTGATGCTGTTGGTCAAGAGCTTCTTTGAATGCTAGGTTATGATAGAACATGGTTCCAAACATATTTTTATGAAAACAAACTTGACACCTTTAATTAGAACACAGAGAAGTTCCCTGAGGATGGCTTCCAGCACGAGTCCAAAAGTTCGGAAGAGAAAACCTCTGGTCCCAGTGACTGACCCAGATTGTGTCCTGCAACATGTTTTTGCCTTCATTCATTAATTAAAACAGATTTTCTTGATTTAATCCTCTGAAACAAAACTCACTAGATAGGATTTCGTATTGGGGTAAAGGAACCTTACACTGTAATGTTATCATGTAGACATTGTTACTGGCTATAAGGGAAAAACAGAAAAGAATTTGAATATGGAATGCCTTTTTCAATAACAACTAGCTTCAACATTTTAAATAAATCCTGGGTATACCTAAAAATATAAGATGTGTTTATCAATTCTTGCAAAAAAGAAGGAAATTGTAATTTTTTAAAAAAGGCAGGTATGTGTAGCAATATTTCTCTCCAATTTCTACTAAAATAATAATGAAAATTCTTTTCCTTTTCAGGTTATTAAATCTTCTCTTTTGAACAAAATGGAGCAAATAAGAAAGCATTTACCAAATAAGTCAGTACCCATTGAAGTGAATGGCAGTACAACAGAGCTGAAAGGAGATCTTGATCTTGCCAAGACTCAAATTGGAATGACAGAATCGCTTCTGGAAGCTTTATCTCCCTCTGATCCCTTGGAGATTTTTACAAAATTGGAGGTACTTCAGACATATACAACATCATAGAGAAGCATCTTTAGTTTGTTTGGCAATGCAGATGATATTACACCTGAAGATAACATTTTGAACTGCTCTTACAATGACAGAATGACGGAATTTCAATGGTTGTTGCAGATATCACAGGATTTTGAGTGGGATCAGAAAATTAGGAGCTCCATCATTCTCTTCCATGTGACTTTCCCATACTCCATTCTCCTGCTGCCTTTCACAGCAGTTAAAAGTTATGTCAATATCAATCTCAACCATGATTATGAACCAGGATTCAGAGATTAAGTTTGTACAAAATATTAATCCACAATGAATAGGCATATACAGTGCTTTTTTTCTAAAAAAAAAAAAAGGTGCCAGAACTCACACACGTCATACTACCCGCCTTGCCTACCCTACAAGGTTCCATCCAAAAAAGGTGCCGGAACTCCGTTCTGGGCGTTCTATAAGAAAAAAAGCCCTGGGCATATAAGTAAAAAAAAAACCCAGTCTACATAGGCTTAACACAATCCAGTTATACTTGGACAACATTTACACATAATACTAAGCCATAATAATGTTATGTCATAGTCAAGTTACTGTAACTTACTCAGCGAGCTTTGGTTTGAAATCCTGCTTAGCAGTATATGTGAACATAATATAACATAACATAATCTGATGTTTGTAACTAGCTTCAAAAACAAAATTGTTTACTTGTCAGCATTGCCAAATTATTACACTTGGACATTGGTTAATGCTATATTAATATGATTACTATTACTTATGACTATGCAGAGGTTCAAATTCAGTAGGAATGATGCAGAGCATGTAGGAATAAGCACATACCTGTTGTCATATATTTAAATCAAATGTTTCAGATATGCCCCAACTTGACATTTAGGAAAGAAAGACCCTTGACTCCATTTGATTGAATTGATAGGTTCTTTTGCTAAAGTTAAGTAGTTGCAGCAAAAGTAAAGCTAGATCTGAATATACCCAGGCAATGGTTACATTTTCCCCTTTCCCTTGCCCTCCCCCATTGACCAGTCCATCAGTGTCCAGTAGGATGCCTTTTGGATATTTGGGGAACAGCTCAGATGTTTGGCACCTCTCACTGCAGTTTCACATTCAGTTCCCAGGCCAGGTGTCCTTGGAGGCTGGTTCATTCCGATTCCCTTGCAATTTATGGCTGGCTGGTTCATTCCCCATCCCTTGCAATTTATGGCAGGATACCATTTCCCTGAACTCTGTATGAGCCCAGGAAAAGATGCAAGTTCTTTAAAAAGGTGCTAATAAATGTGATCTGTGTTCCAGATTTGCTTTTTCCCTCTGAATCTGCATGCTACTTGCTAGTCTAAGTAGTGTTGACATTCCAGGATCAACAATATCAAAATTATTTCCAGATTGGTTTTCTGTCAACATGTAAATGATATTCCCTTTCTTCTTTAGGAAATACATCAGAAGATTCTTCATCAAAAACAACATGTGAAATTACTTCAGAAAGCGACAAGCTATCTGAACCCTGATGTTATTGAATTAAATAAGCAGCTGATAAGTATCACTGACTTATTTAATTCAAAAAAACAAAGATTTCAGGATCACTTTACAACTCTCTTGAACTGTGAGTGAAAAGTTATTATTATTTTTATTTTTCTTAAGTTGTCAATTTCAAGCAGTCCCTATTTTCTTTAAAAGCAAATTTTAACTGATTTGCTTTGATTTCTGCAAAAGTGTTTTGGATCTACAAAGGGGAACAGAATACGATACTTAAACTGTTTAGAAACATTCATAAAGTAACTACTTCTGGTTTTTTATATACTTAAAATATAGTTACTATAATAAGTATATAGTATTATAAATTTGTCACTTAACTTTAAACATATAATTGTGTGGAGTGAAAAACTGCCCTTTTCAATATGCTTTAAATATCTATACCTATGACTTTTTTCAATGGAAAACAATTCTTATTCAGCAATTTCTAATTGTTTTTCTGATTTATATTTTAATTTGCAAAGACTTTTCATCCAGTAGCCAAGAGGAGCCCAGCAATGATAGAACTACCGGTAATTGCTTAGATTCAAATAATGAAGTCCTGTGCCTCTTCATCCTACTAATCTTTTTATACTGCATATTTTAAACTGCATCTTCCCACAGACCAGTGTAAGCATTTTGATGATTGGTTCAGCAATGTCCAGATCTCTCTGGAAGAGTGTTTTGACTCTTCAGAAACAAAAGAGATGGCAGAAAAGAAAATTAATCAACTAATGGTAAGGCATATGACTGCAAATTGTGTTGACTACTTTCCTTCAGGATTCTTCAGATTTTAAATAAATTAGCCCTGTTTTTAGAAATAGAATAGAATAGAATAGAATAGAAGGGACCATGGAGGTCTTCTAGTCCAGCCCCCTGCTCAAGCAGGAGAACCTATACCATTTCAGACATGTGACTGTCTAGTCTTTTCTTAAAAATCTCCAGTGATTCTGAAGGCAAGCTGTTCCACTTGTTAATTGTCCTCACTGCTAGGAGGTTTCTCCTTAATTCCAGGTTGCTTCTCTCTTTGGTAAGTTTCCAACCATTGTTTCTTGTCCTGCCCTCTTGTGCTTTGGAGAATAATTTGACCCCTTCTTCTTTGTGGTAGCCCCTCAGATACTTGAATACTGCTATCATGTCACCCCTGTTTCTTCTTTTCTTTAGACTAGCCAAACCCAAGTCCTGCAGCCGTTCTTCATATGTCTTAGTCTCCAGGCCTTTGATCATTTTAGTTGCTTTTCTCTGAACCCTTTCCAAAGTCTCAATATCTTTTTTGTAGTATGGTGACCAAAATTGGTTGCAGTATTCCAGGTGTGGTCTTACTAGGGTTTTATAAAGCAATACTAATACCTCGCATGATCTTGATTCTATGCCTCTGTTTTGAGATAGAAGCCTTTGAAGCCTGTTTTGAGATAGAAGCCTTCTCTTTGGCTATGCCAAGAGAAATGTCAGTGAGAACTTAGTGTTATTGAAAAATCATGCACCAATGTTGAATGAAAAATCAGTTCTGTAGGTGTTGATCAATTGGTTATAATCTATTCAGAAATTGTCACTTATTGCAATAATCAGTGAGTGAGTCATGGATGGATGGGTGGATGGATAATAGCAGTGCTTTTTTCTAAAAAAAAAAAAAAAGGTGCCGGAACTCACACACGTCATACAACCCGCCTTGCCTACCCTATAAGGTTCCATCCAAAAAATGGTGCCGGAACTTCGTTCTGGGCGTTCTATGAGAAAAAAAACCCTGGATAATAGATAAATAGATGGATGGATGGATGGATGGATGGATGGATGGATGGATGGATGGATGGATGGAT